CTCCAGTCAAGTATATCCAATCAAACTATTATAACAGAGATACCAATAAATATGGCATCAAGAACTATACATGTATTTTGTCTCACTTGATCTTGTGTTGCATTGAGATGCTCCATTAAGTTTACAACAGTTTGTAGTGGTATATCACAGTGAGCATCACCCCAAGCACCAGCTGAGTTGTCTGGAGTTCCTGAAATACAAAAAATTAAATTATGAAAAGAAAAAATTGGCCGATAAAGAAATAGGTAGAAATTTTCTCTTGGATGTGCACAATTTAATTATAACGCCCAACTATGCACATATAGTAGCTGGTAACAACTATTCTAGATAAGTGATACCTTTTGGTAGTGGTGGTCTACAGCATAATGGTTCATCACAACGAGCTTGAAGGCCAGGAGTATACTGAGGATCCCAATGAATATCAGAAATATGAAGAATTCTGTTAGTAATGTTGACCTAAAAAAATACAAAATTTGAACCATCATAAAGTCACTTTATTAATATAACAAGAGATTCATGTTCATTCTTATCACACAAAATAGGACAAATTTACAGTTTTCTACATATAAAGTGTTTGATTATTTAATTTCCTCTCATATAAAAGCTACAGCTAGAGTAGCACTTGACCAAAGACAATCAGTTTACTTACTGCCAACTGTGAGTAGCAACTCCTACCTCACTATCCCTTACCAGTATATCCAGGCTACTCATGACACACCTCTCTCTCTATACACATTGCCAACTATCAAGCCAAGTATTGTAATAAAATACACATCATGCATGTATATGTACTTAATTCATGTACTTTTGGTGGCTGATAAGGAATGAGGGGAGGTTTGCCACCAGGTACAGGAACAGTCCATTCTTGATTGAAAGGATCATACGTTGTGCCACATTTATCATCAAGAATAGTGCCACATATTTCCCGAGTAGAGAGCGCAGTATGATCAAACACATAAAGGACTTCATCCTATAAAATGTATATTAAAACTTAATATTAAATTTACAGGTACAACCTCTTGAAACTTAATATAGACAACTATCAAAACATAACAATGATCAAGGTTAATTCGGGTTTAATTTGAGGCTAAGTAGGTACATCAAATTAAAAACTTGTTTTACCTGATGACATATACCATAATGGAAAAAATTTAATTGGCAATCCAGTGATTTATAGGTGCCATTTCTTTCACTCAGGATATTTTTAAAATTCCAATACATTTTATAATGGCAGTATCTAATTCATAATCAACAGCGACATCAATGTTACCTTAAATTCAGGTATGATGAGTTTGCAAATACGATCATCGGCTAATTTGAACTTTTCACAGGCCTCGATTGCAGCCTTTTCAATCAAGGACTCACTGAAATGAAACTGAGCTAATTTCTGAATGGTATCCACAATGACAGTACAAGCTTCACACAATACACCATCAGCTATTCCAGAGGTTATTCCCTTTAGGGATGCCGATTGAACTGGTTGGTTGAGACGAAATACAATCAACAACCCAAGCACGGTTCCTAAGAGCCCCTTCATTCCCAACTTTCTTTGGCCAGTTCTCCCTCGATTTCTCCTTAAGTTAATCTCCCCCAAGCGGGCCAACTGACACGGGATGAGCTACTGCAAATGAGCAGATCACACCACCACCAGTCAGTCCTGCCCTGTGACATGATTGATTATTTATAACACGCCCACACAGGAAATTATAATTCTTTTGTGTTCCAAAATTCTAATCAGCAGTGTTGATGAGCTGTGGCATAAAAGTTTATCATTTGTTCTTCTGTAATATCTAGATCTGCATCAGAATAAAGAGCACTGCAAGCAGAAATTTTGCTGAATGTTGTTAAACAAGAACAGATTGTAGATTTTTTACATTTATCTTTGCCGGAATCTGAGCATTGCGATTCCATGTCAAATGACTTAGAAATGTAACTACAACAGAAAAAAATTAGTCAGTATAATTTATAAAGCCTACTGATAATATTTCAACAAGAGATCATTATTAGTTAGAAATTCCTTCACTAAGGAGAACCAACTATCAGGTGTGAGGTTAGTCATATTATATGCATCCTATACATGTTCATGATAATAATTATACAGCTGAATTGAGTGTATTACTTTAGCTGAGTATTCATGGATCCATTTTGGTTTATTAGTAAGATTAGCATCAGTAATGTTTAGTATGTATGTATCATGATCCAGTACTTGTCTAGAGGACTCATTGTAATTACCATCAACAGTATAAATTCTATATCCTGCATTCTGATAGGAATAAGTGGTTACACTAGGACCATTATACCACACACTACAAAGCAATGAATTAATATTATAATTTTTTCTATAATATTACCTATATGGCCTTGGAGTAGAACTGGTTTCAAAATCCATTAAAACAGTGAAGGTGTCACTGTGAGTGTGACCAAAAAATTGCCCAGCAATAGTGTTTTCAAATCTAAAGTTTGGTACCAATTATCAGTACAACTTTTAGCATATTTACCTTGACACAATTTTTTTATAGTTTTGACCCCAAGAATGCTTATCTGGAGGAATATGGCCCAGTACATGAACCTTCATTCCTTTTGCTTCAGCATCAAGTAACTTCTCAATAAACCAATGTAACATTCCATCAGGATCAGTACTGTTGATCCACAACCACCTATAAATGTATATCATCAATGTCCATCATTCATTACTGACATATCAATTTTATGGATCTAGTTACCAATTTTGATTATTGTAATAGTTAGTCTGCAAAGAAATAACTCTTAATCCATTGAAGTCAATTGAATAGAATCCACCACTATATAACACGAATGACCAACATGTGCATGAGGATATGACTAACCTTTTAAATGTAATGATAGCATCTGTTGAGGTTAGCCATTTCTGAAGCAGCTCAGCAGCATCATCATATAGCCATGACATTGAATACTCAGTGATAGAAGCAGGAGGAAAGCTACAAGAAATAAGCTCATATAGTTAAGGAAGGATCTTATGATCTTACCTATTAACAGGTGCACTTTCATGATTACCAACTGAAAAGAAAAGTGGCTTGTTTGGGAAATATTTGTAGAACAAATTAATAATTTTATTAAATATATAAATCTGATCATCTTGAGTCTGATTCCAAACATTATGTGGTGGCAAATCTCCAGTAAGGTATATCCAGTCAAACTATAGAATGTATCACTTAATCTGTTGATAATCATTGTACCCACCTGATCTTGAGTATCGTTAAGATGCTCCATTAGATTTAGAAGTGTTTGCATTGGTAAATCACATTCTCTTGTATCACCCCAATAACCAGCAGAATTACTTGATTCCCCTATAAAATGTATTGGTAAAATAATTTATGTATTTCAATCAATATGGATTCCGATCAGTATTTCAAAAATTAACCTTTAGGTATTGGTGGTCTACAGCACAATGGTTCATCACATTTAGCCTGAAGGCCAGGAGTATACTGAGGGTCCCAATGAATATCAGAAATATGAAGAATCTTGTTAGTAATGTTTACCTATAGCAAAAAGCCAGCATGTACATTAAGGCATAATGTAAATAGATGTTTCAAGATGCCAGGATTGCATGAGTTGCATTTCAGTTTTAGAAAAGCTAGGACATAGCACAACATGAATAACATTGATCATTGTATTGTGTTATGTAATTCATTGCTATGCACAATGATAAATGCTAAGGTCATCATTGAAGCATAACTATGCTGATATAAATAACATAATGGCTATTGACTTTACTTTTGGTGGTTGATATGGTTTAATGGGAGGTTTGCCACCAGGTATAGTAACATTCCATTTTTGATAAAAAGGATCATACATTGTACCACATTTATCATTGAGAATGAAGCCACATATTTCCCGAGTAGAGAGTGCAGTGTGATCAAACACATACAGCACTTCATCCTATAAAATGCAAATCTATCTCATATTACATAATTATTACTTTTACAATACCATGAACTCTGGTACGATCATTTCACATACTCGACTATCAACTTTTTTACTAAAAATTGGAGCAAATTTTTTGCATAACACTACTGTAACATTTCCAATCAATGATTCACTGGCTTTTAGCTCAGCCAGTTCCCTGATAACATCCACCACTTCTGAGCAAGCATCACATGAAAGGCTTTTAGCAACCTCTGATGTAGAACTGCTGAGGTCCAGGTTCATCTTTCTTAATGATACCAGATACACCATTTGGAACTGGCATATAAAGAGCAAAGCGAAGGAGAGCAACACAGCATAGGATCCCATTTTAAGAGCTGCACAAAAGTATACAACTGCAAAACAGCCACGCCCAAAAATATTGGAGATCTAATTTGTCATGAAAATGATTTAATAAAACAGTAGCTTAGCATTAGCATTTAACAGTCTTTATGAGCTGCTTCATACAGCATCATTTGTTGTTGAGTTACAAGGTTAGGAGCAATAGCATCACATGCAGAAATATTACTAAAAGTTGATAAACAAGAACAAATCGTAGAATGTTGACAATGGCCAGAGCATTGCGACTTCATATCAAAAGACTTGGAAATATAACTAAAGAGCATAAAGGAAACATTATTGATTCAATTATAAATCCTACTGATAATATTTCAAGAAGAGATCATTATTAGTTAAAAATTCCTTCAGTAAAGATAGCCAACTATCAGGTGTGAGATTAGTCATATTGTATGCATCCTATATGTTCATGATAATATATCATTACAATACTCATTGTCTTACTTTAGCTGAGTATTCATGGATCCATTTTGGTTTATTAGTAAGATTAGCATCAGTAATGTTTAGTATGTATGTATCATGATCCAGTACTTGCCTAGAGGACTCATTGTAATTACCATCAACAGTATAAACTCTATATCCTGGGTTAAAATTTGTTATTGGAGTTACACTAGGACCATCATACCACACACTACAAAGCAATTAAAAATAATTTTGAAATTATATAATTTTTCCAACACATTACCTATAAGGTCTTGGAATAGAACTGGTTTCAAAATCCATTAAAACAGTGAAAGTGTCAGAATGATAATGACCAAAGAATTGCCCAGCAATAGTGTTCTCAAATCTAAAAATTGATACCAATCATCAGTACAAATTTTAGCATATTTACCTTGACACAATTTTTTTATAGTTTCGACCCCAAGAATCACTACCTGGAGGAATATGACCCAGTACATGAACCTTCATTCCTTTTGCTTCAGCATCAAGTAATTTATCAATAAACCATTGTAACATTCCATTTGGATCAGTACTGTTGATCAGCAACCACCTAAATTTAGATCATCAATGCCCATCACTAAATATTTTTTTATAATTTTTAGTTACCAATTTTGACTATTGTAGTAGTTAGTCTGCAAAGAAATAATTCTTAATCCATTGAAGTCAATTGAATAGAATCCACCACTATAATGTGAATGATCAACCTACATGTGCGTGGGAACAAGACTAACCTTTTAAAGGTATTAATAGCATCTGTTGTGGTTAGCCATTTCTGAAGCAGCTCAGCAGCATCATCATATAGCCATGACATTGAATACTCAGTGATAGAAGCAGGAGGAAAACTATAAGAAATAAGCTCATAGTTAAGGATAGATCTTATGATCTTACCTATTAACAGGTGCACTTTCATGATTACCAACTGAAAAGAATAGTGGCTTGTTTGGGAAATACTCATAAAACAAATTAATAATTTTATTAAATATATAAATCTGATCATCTTGAGTCTGATTCCAAACGTTATGTGGTGGTAAATCTCCAGTAAGATATATCCAGTCAAACTAGAATGTTACAACCATAACTCTATCTGTTATAATCCCTGTACCAACCTGATCTTGAGTATCATTAAGATGTTCCATTAAATTTATAAGAGTTTGCATTGGTAAATCACATAATGGTTCACCCCAATAACCAGCTGAATTATTTGATTCCCCTGTAAAATGTATTGGGAAAATAATTCATGCATTTCAATCAATATCAGCAATTTAAAAATTAACCTTTAGGTAGTGGTGGTCTACAGCACAATGGTTCATCACATTTAGCCTGAAGGCCAGGAGTATACTGAGGGTCCCAATGAATATCAGAAATATGAAGAATCTTGTTTGTATTGTTTACCTATAGCAAAAAGCATGCATACATTAAGATTAAAGGTGGGCAATACCAGAAATTTTGAATCGATACCAATACCAAGTAGTCTGAGTATGAGTATCAATGGTATCGAGTAGTGAATGAGTAGTCAGCTACTGTGCATGCACAAATAAGTTAGAATTAGTTATTAATAAAAATTAAGATAAAAGACTGCCATTTTTGTAATCATTAAAGGACATGGCCATTATTATGACATCAAAGTAGGTGTGGTGGGGTGTGGTTACTCACTACTCGATACCAGGATTTGGTATTGAGTACTTGGTATCGGAGGCCTGGTATCGGATATATGAGTACTTTGGTATCGTATCGCCCACCTCTAATTAAGATATAATGATAATAGGCTTGGTGGGATCACATGATTTACATTCTTTTTATAGCACAACATGAATAACATTGATCATTGTATTGTGTTATGTAATTCATTGCTATACACAATGATAAATGCTAAGGTCATCATTTAAGCATAAGTATGTAACACATAATGTATGCCGACTTACTTTTGGTGGTTGATATGGTTTAATGGGAGGTTTGCCACCAGGTATGGTAACATTCCATTGTTGATTAAAAGGATCATATATTGTACCACATTTATCATTGAGAATAGTGCCACATATTTCCCGGGTAGTGAGTGCAGTGTGATCAAACACATACAGCACTTCGTCCTAAAATGCAAATCTATCTCATATTACATAATTATTACTGTTACAATACCATGAACTCTGGTATGGCCATTTCACATATTCTATCATCAATTGTGCTACTATCAGCTGCAACAAATTTTTTGCAGATAACTACTGCAACATCTCCTATCACTGATTCACTGGTTTTTAGCTCAGCCAGTTTCCTGATAACATCCACCATTTCTGAGCAAGCATCACATGAAAGGCTTTCAGCAACTTCAGATGTAGACCTGCTGAGATCCAGGGTCGTCTTCCTTAATGATACCAGATACACTGTTTGGAACTGGCATATAAAAAGCAAAGCAAAGGAGAGCAACACAGCATAGGATCCCATCTTAAAGCTGCACAAAAAGTGGCCCTGCAAAACAGCCACGCCCAAAAATATTGGAGGTCTAATTTTTCATTAAAATGATTAATTTTAATACAACAGTAGCAGCATTTAACAGTCTTGATGAGCTGCTTCATACAGCATCATTTGCTCTGGAGTTACAAGGTTAGGAGCAATAGCATCACATGCAGAAATATTACTAAAAGTTGATAAACAAGAACAAATCGTAGAATGTTGACAATGGCCAGAGCACTGCGACTCCATATTAAAAGACTTGGAAATATAACTAGAAAAAATGAAGAAAATATCATTAATTCAATCGTAGAACTTACTGATAATATTTTAAAAAGAGATTGTTATTAGTTAAACATTCCTTCAGCAAAGATAACCAGCTATCAGGTGTGAGATTAGTCATATTGTATGCATCCTATATGTTCATGATAATATATCATTACAATACTCATTGTCTTACTTTAGCTGAGTATTCATGGATCCATTTTGGTTTATTAGTAAGATTAGCATCAGTAATGTTTAGTATGTATGTATCATGATCCAGTACTTGTCTAGAGGACTCATTGTAATTACCATCAACAGTATAAATTCTAAACCCTGGATTTAATTCTGTCATTGATGTCACACTAGGACCAATATACACAACACTAGAAAAATAGTATCAAATGAATATGAGCTCATAAAATAAAAGCAGGACTTGTGCTAGGGCTCTAGTTACCTATAAGGTCTAGGATCAGTGCTAGTTTCAAAGTCCATCAAAACACGAAACTTGTCTTTATGGCTGTGGCCAAAAAATTGTGCAGAAATAGTATTTTCAAACCTAGTAATAATCGGAAAAATTGTGCAAACAAAAAATTATATAAAGAATTTTCACCAGTGAAAAATTAACTTAGCAAGATATAAATGTGTCTTTATATTGCGACTTAATCCTCTATTGTATACCTCAAAACAATTTTCTTATAGTTCTGACTCCAAGGATCATCTCCTGGAGCAATATGACCTATTACATGAACCTTTATTCCTTTCTTCTCAGCATCAAGTAACTTCTCAATAAACCATTGTAACATTCCATCAGGATCAGTGCTGTTTACTAGTAACCACCTAAATCAAAATAATTATCATTAATTTCCTATTGCTTGATATTAACCAGCTCACCAATTCTGCTTGTTATGATAATTAGTTTGTAAAGAAATGATTCTTAGTCCATTAAAATCAATGGAGTAGTATCCCCCACTATAACAGTAGTTGTAAATTACTATCACTGTAGGAAATTAATTTAACCTTTTAAGAGTATCAATGGCATCTGGTGTGTTTAACCATTTCTTTAACATCTCAGCAGCGTTATCGTAGAGCCATGACATTGAATATTCAGTTATAGAAGAAGGAGGGAAACTATAAATGTACTAAAATAATTTCAATTACGTAAGGATTTTTTAATACCTGTTGACAGGGTCACTTTCATGATTACCAATTGAATAGAACAATGGCTTATTAGGGAGGTATTCATTAAAGAGACCAATGATCTTATTGAAAATAGAAACTTGACCAGATTTAGTCTGTTCCCAATCATTATGAGCTGGTAAATCTCCAGTCAAGTAAATCCAATCAAACTATTGTGGTAATAGTTATAGTA